ATGAACCACAACTACTGAGCCCGCGTGCTGCAACTACTGAAGCCCGCACACCTAGAGCCCACGCTCCACAGCGAGAGAAGCCACCGCAATGAGAAGCCCACACACTGCAGCGAAGAGTAGCCCCCGCTCGCTGCAACTAGAGAAAGCCCGCGCGCAGCAATGAAGACCCAACACAGCCAAAAGTAAATAAATAAAATAGATAAATTTAAAATAAAATAAAAATATATAATGAGTTGTCTTTAAAAAAAAAATAGTAGTTAGGTTCTAAGGTAGCCCACCAATGCTTATTTAACCCATAAGGTTGCCAAATGACAATACAAAAATGAGCTCAGAATCCTGAAAGTATACTTTCTTTTCTCTTTTCTAAAGACTTTTTAAAAATTCTTTAAAAACTTTAACATCCTTACCTCTTCCTGCCACTTTTCCAAAGGCCCCTAGGATTTTCATACCATTCTAAACTCTGGAGACCTGTTGTGTTCCTGAAACCATTCCATATTACAAAATGACTGTGAACTCAACAACAAAAAACAAACAACCCAGTTCAAAAATGGGCAAAGGACTTGATAAGACATTTGTCCCAAGAAGATATGCAAATGGCCAATAAGCACATGAAAAGATGTTCACCATCTCTAATCATGAGGGAAATGCAAATTAAAACCACAACGAATTAGGACACAGGGATGAGAAGGGCATTCTGAACTGGGGGAATCGCATACACAAAGCTGTGGGATCGCTGTCTTTCTAAGGTACCATGGCACACTTTAAGCTGCAAGTGGATCTGTTGAAAGAGGGGTGATGAGGGAAGGTTATGAAACTTGGCTCTTGAATGAGTCTAGGCAACTGAGCTTTATCAAAAACAATGGCGTCCACTAAGTATCTGCCTTGTGTGGGTGCTGGGCCAGATGCTGGGGATACAGAGGGGAACAAAGTAGCATCTCTGCTCTCAAAATAAGCTCATCTGGTTGTGGAGACACACACTTACGATATGCAGTAGCAGTAAGTTTGTTTGGAGTAAAGGAAGAGTGTGTAACCTGGTTGGGTTACAGAAAGCTGCTTAGAGGAGGAGCCTACACCCAGTCGTGAAAGATGAGTCAGTGGCAGCCAGGTGACGAAGTTAGGGGTATCTGTTTGGGAGATGAGAAGATTGTTCTAGTTGGAAGAAATAGTGTATGCACATAAACAGGTGGCAAAGCATCACGTGGTTGGGGAACTAATTTATGTGACTAAACTACACTGTATAGTATTTGTGGGTTGAGGTCATAAGGATAAGAAGCATCTCATGGGAACACAAACTCACAGGAACCAGTGTGCTGTCGTCCAGCCACACAGGATGGATATACACGATTTAGCAACTGGAAAGCAGGTGGTGGTCCAGGACAGGACTAGTATTATTCTGTTGTCTCCTCAACAGCGAGTTTGTCCCCGACCATGATGGTAATTTTGCTCCCCTTTTTGTTTCTATCACTCCAGCCAATTACTTTACCCCCATTCAATACACCCAGAGGTTGTAGATTACTCATAGCTTCTGCTTACTCATCTTCTATTTACTCAAAAGTTTTTGCATTCTCCTTATCATCACCTCTGCCCTCTCCCCGTAATCCTTCAGCTTCTGTTTTGCAACCACTGAGTAGCTCTCTAGGTGTCTCAGGTTCAGATCTCCTCATACAAGAGGACCTGACTGGTGTAATTAATCTTCTATATCCTTTTTGGAGAGCTCTCCCGCCATCCTGTCCTGTATGTTACTGACCAGCCCTTATGGTAACTGCTCTAGACCAATCATCTGGGACCAGAAGGGTCCCAGGAAATTTTATCAGAAGGGCACCCCATTCGACAGAGGCAGTACACAGGGTAAGTATTCTGAGATGGCCTTTTCAGCACGGTAGGGGAGGGAACAAAGAAGCCAAAAGAGTCTCAAAGGTGGTAGAAGACAGAGTAACAGATATGAGAAATATTTAAGAAGAGGAATAGAACTTAGGGACCTATTAGGTCTTGAGGGATGGGATCAGGTGGAAAGGAAGAAGCCCAGTAGAGCTATAGATTTCTGGCTTGGGCAGCTGGGTAGTTGCTGAATTGATAACCAGGATGAGGGAATACAGGAAATGGGGTACATAGAGTGGGTAAGGGAGGGACGATGCATTGTACTGTAGATATGAGTTTGAAGTACCAGGGAACATCGAAAGAGAGATACCTGGTAAGCACTTAGATATACAGAGCTGGGGCTAAATAGGTAGGCTATATTTTGTTGCAGGTTAGTGTAAGCAAAAAGGAAAGTTGGTTGGCACAGCTAACCAACCTGAGAAGGTTGAAGGTGAAGCCAGGTTTGTGAATAAGAATGAAGATTTGGATCCCACCAGTACAACCCCAAACATTTTTTTTTTTTTTTTGGAGGGGGGCGGGTCAGAGCCTCCACAGCCGACTGGCTCCTTCACATGGTGAAGGTTACGGGCAGCTGTGGGCTCATAACCAGCAGGGAAAGCTAGTTCTTCCAGCTTCAGTTTGGAAAATCCTAGGGGAAGGACTCGATGACTTGTACTGGCTCATTACCCATACCTTGGACCAGTGTCTGTGGTCAGGGAAACATGAGATTCTGTATTTGGCCCAGCTTTGGTCACATGCCCGCCCCTGTGGCCACAGTGGGTGAGATCTCTTCTCAGATGGAGAAGAGGCTCAGAGAAGGGTTTGGGACCAGTACTGATTCCTTCATAAATAGCTTTCCCTTCTTTCCAGTGTGTGTGAAATAGATGATAAATAAATCAGAGCTCTCTGCGGTAGCTCACCGGATGCCCCGGCCAACTCTGTGAAACCTGAATCTTCTCTGTGTGTTTCTGGGAGACTTTCTGAGTATTTTTAAGTTATTTGCGAATATTTTCATATGTCCAGGTTGTCACTTCAAGAAAAAGTAAAATTAATAACGTGTATGGGAAAAGAATCTGAAAAAGAATAGATATATGTATAACTGAATCACTTTGCTGTACACCTGAAACTAACACATTATAAATCAACTATACTCCAATATAAAATCAAAAACTTTTTAAAAAAAGAAAAAGTAAAGTTGACTAGTAGCAGGGAGGCTGGAATCCTAGAGAAAATGAGAAAAGATTTAAGTGCGAGTGTATCTTAACTCTGCCAATGCTGAACTTTGCGCCCTCTCCCTTGCCAGTCTCCCTTGCTCACCAGTGCAGTGCACCAGCTTAAATCTTGCTACCAATTTCCAGGCATTGTTGGAGCAGGAAAACTCATCAGTCTTTTCCCCCTTTTCCATTCTGGGGGGGGCTTCAAAGGATACTTGGTTTTGTTGGGAGAAAAAGTTCCATGTTTGAAATATTGACTGTGAAAGTCTTAGTTCCAGCCGCACTGATGCTGGGCCTTTTGAAACGTTTGGAATTAAAGCGGAGAATGGAGGAGGGGCCTATATAAGTGTATTTACTTGTGTATGCAGGCAATATCTCTGGAAAAACACCCCCAAAATTTAAAAAAAAACTAACATTGGTTACCTCCCAAGAGAAGAACTTATGGGTAGCTGAGGAACCGGGGATAGGACCGGAAACATCACAATCTACCCTTTTATATCTTTGGACTTTTGAATTATTTGAATATATTGCTTATTCAAAATATAAATAATAAAACGTCTTAATCAAAAGAAAAAGCCTGAGTCTGTCTCATAGAATCTACTGGGCTAGTCTCCCAGAACAGAGGGGAGGTACATGCCCACTGGGAAAATGGTAAGTTGACCTGCACCCCAATCTACAGAGAAGCTTAAGAAGGCGGTCTGGGTTAGAGAGAGATTAGGATGTCACGGCCCTGAGGTTGCCATGAAAGCAATGGGTAAATGTACACAACCTTGGGGTGGGTACAAAGGAAGAGAATTGGCAAGGACGATTAAGAAAGGTTGATCAAGGGCTTCCCTGGTGGCGCAGTGGTTGAGAGTCCGCCTGCCGATGCAGGGGACACGGGTTCGTGCCCCAGTCTGGGAAGATCCCACATGCCGCGGAGCCACATGCTGCGCCCGTGAGCCATGGCCGCTGAGCCTGCGCGTCCAGAGCCTGTTGCTCCGCAACGGGAGAGGCCACAACAGTGAGAGGCCCGCGTACCGCAAAAAAAAAAAAAAAAAAAAAAATGAAAGCTTGATCAAAGATAGGATAATCACTGGGAGAGAGGCGTGACAGCAACCAAGAGAGGCATCTGAAGAGGGACAGTCAACAGTGTTAAATGAAGACTCTTATGTGCTATTTATGCTTATTTTATCCATTATTGAATTATATAACATTAAATTCTCAAAAAAGTGGCTGCTGCTTACCAAGTTTATCCTGAAAGACTGCTCAAAAATGCTAAAATTCTGAATCCCCAGCAAATCCATATTAAAATCCATTAACATTATAGGCAGTTTTTAAAACCATATTAAGCATTATTGTTTGAAAATTAATTTTTGGTGCTGGTTTATGGCAGATGGATCACATGTTTATTGCCATTCCTTTCCAAGAGCCCCCCCCCCAAAATAATATAAAGTTTACAGAGGTAAAGATAAAAAATAATAGTAAAAGATATAAACCTGAGAAGACCATCCAAGAAGAGATTGCAGAGATTTTAATCAAATTTTGAAAGACAGCAGATAGAGTCAGGGAAGTGATAAAACTATAGCCAAAAATTGGGGCTTCCCTGGTGGCGCAGTGGTTGAGAGTCCGCCTGCTGATGCAGGGGACACGGGTTCCTGCCCCAATCCGGGAAGATCCCACATGCCGCGGGGCAACTAAGCCCGTGCACCACAACTACTGAAGCCCGCGCGCCCAGAGCCCGTGCTACGCAACAAGAGAAGCCACTTCAATGAGAAGCGTGAGCATCGCAACGAAGAGTAGCCCCCGCTCGCCGCAACTAGAGAAAGCCCGCACACAGTAACGAAGACCCAACACAGCCATAAACAAATAAACAAATAAATCCTTTTTTTAAAAAACTGGGATTGGTGAAAGCTTTTTTTTTTTTTGGCTTCACATGTAGCATGTGGGATCTTAGTTCCCTGACCAGGGATTGAACTCACACCTCCTGCATTGGAAGCGCAGTGTCTTAACCACTGGACCACCAGGTAAGTCCCCATAGTGAAAGCTTATTATGTGCAACAGACCCCAGTGCTACACAGCCAGCCAACCACCACCTCAAAAAAAGAGACTGATGTTTATTCTTGGAGGTGAAAGGTAGAAAATAGTTAAGCAAAATTCAGAACAGTAGACCTCCATTCCCCTTTCCTCACCTGTCCCCAGAACAGCAGCTTCCAAATAGATGAATGCCAGGTAGAAGATTGGAAATTTCATCTCAAGAGAGAGAATGATCTAGAGAAAAACTTGCACAAGCCCTGCTCACAAGACCCTAATCTCGTCAGAGACCTCACTTTGAACCATTGTTATAAAACTCCTCATCAAATCCTCCCAGGTTGGGGGGAAAAAAATAAGAAAAAACCTGCACATACAGTTATATGTGTGTTCTCCAACACAATGGCCATATCTCCCTACAATTTGACAAATCCTCTCATACACTCACCCACATATACAGTTTCCAATCAGTATCTCTTAGTATAAACAGAAATCAAACATCAGAAATGATGGAGCAAAACAAGCTAAAGTAAAGAAAAAAGTCAATGTAGAGAAAATTTTTTTAATTATTAGTATCTTTAGAGAGATAAGGGAAAGTATTATAATTTATAAAATAAGAAAGATTACTATGAAAAGTAACTGTGAAAAAGTCTTGGAAAATAAAAATATATAACCAAAATAAATAGAACGGTTGGAAAACAAAGTTGAGAAGAAAACAACAACAAAGATGGAAAAGAGAAGAAAAAAGACAGAAGACTTTAAAAGGAAACCAGGAGGTACAAAATCAAATAGGGGTCCAGAAAGAAAAGAACTGAAAATAGGCAGAAATTATCAAAGAAGAAATACATGAAGATTTCCCAGAACTGAAGGACATGAGTCTTTCCACTGAAAGGGTCTACTTAGTGCTCAACAGTGTAAAAAAAGATAAAACAATCCATACCAAGTCATACCATTTCAAAATTTCAGAATATCAGAAATAAAGAGAAGCCCTTAGAAGCTTTCAGGCTATGGGTGTGGTGGTAGGATTGGTGGTTAGAATCACTGAGGAGGGAACATGACTCAAAATGGCACTGACCCGTGAGCCATGGCTGCTGAGCCTGCACATCCGGAACCTGTGCTCCGCAACGGGAGAGGCCACAGCAGTGAGAGGCCCGTGTACCGCAAAAAAAAAAAAAAAAAAAAAAAGAAAGAAAGAAAATGGCACTGGCTTTTTAAATGTAACAGGGGTTTTAGGACATAATGCCTTCAACTATCTGAGGGAAAAATTATTTGTGTCCTAGAAGTTTACAACCAACTGAATTATCAGTCATGTGTCCAGGTAAGGACTCAAAAATTTGTGTATCTGCCATGCACCTCTCTTTAGGGAACTGCTGGATAATGCACTCCAGAGAAACAAGAAAAAGGAAGGCCCACAGGTGCAACAGCAAATCCAATACAGAAAATTGTCAAGAGTGAGTTCTAAGGGAATTCCCTGGTGGTCCAGTGGTGAGGACTTCACACTTTCACTGCCAAGGGCCCAGGTTCAATCCCTGGTTGGGGAACTAAGATCCCACAAGCTGCACAGCACGGCCAAAAACAAAAAAAGTGAGTTCTAAGACAAAGGGGTCTCCAAAGCCTGCTCCATATTGGAGTAAGAGGAAGCGGAGGCTTCAGAGAGCGATCTCCAGGGTGGAGGAAATGAAACATTATCTGGGATGGTTGAGGCTTTGGGGGAAAAAAAACTGCTGGTAGTCAGACAACAACTCTAGTTGAGCAACTGAAAGGACAATCAGTTAATAGAAAACTATACTGGTGGCGGAGGGGGGAAATGAGGCAATCACTGAGTCCAAAAAATAAGAATGATGTTAGGAAAGAAATAAGTATGAAATACTATCTGACTCTTCAATTTTACATAGGCAATAACATAAACACTGATTAAAAATTGCATTACAGGATAATGGAGGAAAGGAAATGGGAGGTCGAGAATGCTAAATCATCACCTGTGATAATAGAATGTCAATTCTATTACCCATTTCTTCCTTTTAGTGAGACCAACATCTATTCTAATGGCATATGATGCAGCCCATGCTTTTAACATTTTCCCAAGGGTTGAAGAAAATTTTTCACTGAAAGAAGCTCTCTGGTTTTATACCATAGAAGTGTTCCCAGCCTACTTTGTGGGAGTAGATTAATCCTGCTTCTTTCCCCTGCTTCAGTTTTCAAAAATGGTGAACATGCTGACCACAAATGGTGTATCTCAAGATTTTATATCTAAACCTGAAACTCTAAGGAATATTGTTAACCATCCATTCTCTTGGTGCAAAACTATGGCCTTGAGCCACTTCCATCACTATCAAGTGGGGTACTTATTACAAATAAGCAAATTTCTGGTCCCTAACCAGATGTGCTGAATCAGAATTCCTGAAAAGGACCAAGGAATATCATTTTTCCCATTGACCCAGATAGTTCTTTATTCACACGAACAGAATTATAATTTAGTATTATGTTGTTGGTTTTTGTTTTATCAAAGGTCAGTGTGAGATCCACACACATAAAATCTCTACCCGTTTGGTTTTTTTTTTTTAATGCTATTGAGGGCATTGTGTATTTTATTATTCAGTGTTCTTCAGTGTTCATGGAACGAAATCTCTTTCAGATTTCAGAGCTAGAAAAAAGTTTTTCTCTCCTATATGAACTGGTGTATTTCCTTTATGAGACTAGGGCTTGTCAAATTGGACTAACTATTAGAATCACCTGGGGAACTTTGAAAACATGCACGGCTTCCCAGACCCCAAGCCAGACACGCTCACCAGAATCTCCAGGTTAGGGAGGTTCCATGTGATGCTGATAATTAACCATGTTTCATACACTCTGCATGGGACAAACATCTAGTTAATTCAACATGTTCACATTTTGCCTTGACTTCCTGGAAGCTAGTCTTATAGCAATTTTTCTTGGAATCCAATTTTTAATAGAATCATTGTCCTTTTCTTCCCCCATTTTATTACTTGTCTTATTTAGTATGTTTTTAAAGAATTTCAACTTCAGAGGAAATAATTTCTAATAATACTGTCCTTTGGACCAGCACATTCCTTGCAATAGCATTTAAGCCTAAAATAAATTCGTTATTAGGATTAAAGAGTGAAAGAATGTTGTGAGCTTTTAAAAGTTTCATCGTCCAGAGTTTATGGAGGATTCGTGGGAAATTACTGTTAGAAAAGTGCTCTGAAAACCACTGTTATTAAATGCTATATATATAAAATTAAGATCCTGATCGCCTTTATAGTCCCTTCGCTACAGGCACCCCCAAGACTAAATTCGTTGCTCTTCTTTCTTCTAATTCACCACCTCAAAGAGCTAATCCATTTTAGTCGTGGTAACCATCATCACCAAATGTATACTTGAGCTTGAATCTTTTGCTGTCTGCAGGGACTCTTCACGTAGCTATCTCCCAAAGTCCAGACGTCAATGTGAAGAAACTCAGTATATCTAAAACTGAACTCTTCTGCTTACTCCACAATCCCATATTCCTGATCACCTCTCCTTCCCAACTCACCATTTGGATAAGTAGCACCACCATTCCCCCCATGTGCCCAGCTGAATCTGTCCTTGGTCACTCCTATTTCTTTCAAGCCCCACACCATTTAGCAAGGCAATATTTATGATATAGTTTGAGGATGTAGATGCGATCTGAAGACCAAAGAAAATGCTGGTGGGTGTGAGAGATGCCAGGAGTGATAAACTGCCTAGGAAATGAAAGGGGCTTGCTTCACAGGAACGAAACCTATCGTTTCTCTCACATAGTCTCAGGGACTTATCCCTTTCTCTTTTCTTCCCTGGCCTGGCGCTCATTTCCTGAGTTAAAATAAACTACTAATTGATTTCCCAGGATGTGGCCTATTCCTGTTTCCATTCATCATGGTGGTGGTGGTGATGCTTTAGTAATATTATTTGTCCAATCAATTCCTCATCTACAGAAAAAGAATGATAATGGTACCTAACTCAATGAGTTCTGTATTAAATGTTCTTTGTGTTTATCACAGTGCTTGGTACCCAATAAATATTAGTTGCTATTATTTTGTTGTTGTTGTTAACAGAACACATTCACATATTCCCTTATGATTATTTCACTTGGACTTAACACCAATTAAGCTCCATAAAGCACCATATTTACTTTTTAGTAAAATCTTACCATAACTTTTAAAAATTCACATTCTTCATCTTGGGAGTTAACATTTAATAATTGTAAAATCTTAAACAAGTTATTTTACTGAGCCTCTGCTTCCTTATTTGAAGTAGGGAGAACATTATGTTCCTGGTTGATATGAGATTAAAATTAATAATGTATATATCAACGGTGTTTGGGGGACCGCAAAGAACTGTACACATTTTAACTGTTTTCACTCGTGCTGTAAGCTTTGTCTTTGAGCACAAGGGCTGATGCAAACAAGGAAACAGCTCCAAAGAATCCTTGGCCACCACCCCAAGACCTTGGTTCTACTAGGCACCGAGCCATACACCATTTTTCTGACGGCTACAAGACATCATGTCAGCTCCACCAGTCACAAATTCCCTGAGGTATAAGACCTTCTAATTTTACAAGCAGTTGAGCAAAGCATTTTGCACAGAACGATGCTCTCATCATTTCATTCTCCTCAGGTGAAAGTGATCTACTGGGTGACCTCCCTGGCAGAGGTGAGTCTCCAGTTACTTTGCGAAGCATACCCCCAATCTGCTGCTGCAGTGTCCTCGTGTACCCATCTCCCCAGGAACCACTTACCTACCGCCATTTTCCTGTCTGTTCATGAGAACTAAGACCCTCTTGCAGGCGAAACAAATTCAAAGCAGGACCACTCCTCTATCTGTGTCTGCTGAGTTTAGTTCAGAAATCCATCCTACTACACATCTTCAGAGTCCTTGGCTGTTGCCTGAAATACAAGCCATCTATTCTATCCCATCCATCTAGTCTATGACCATCCATTCAATCAGGGTCATACTACTGTTGGATTTTTCTCCCCTGATCCAACCACCTCCTGCTGTTCCTCTACCTTTAGAACCTTCCCACCATGTTCCCTGGGACACCTATGTTGGTTCATGTTCTTATTTGCCCAACACCTCTTCCTCTGCACCTTCTAATAATAGACTCACTTACCCTACCCATGGGAAATGCATGTGACCAAGATAGGCCACGTGACCCAGACATGATCATACAACCAAGCCAGCTTTGTCTAGGTCTTCCTTTGGGATTGTTCTGATAAAACTTGCAAGTGACAATGTTCTCTGCCATGTAAATAAAGTCCATTGACTATAGGGAAAAATGAAGCCAACCTGAAACAAAAGACAGAAAAAACGATACATTGAGAGAGAGTCCTGATGAGGTCAGGTACCTGGTTCTAGCTCCCACGATCCACAGAGCGTCCCAGTTCCCCAAAGCTTTTCTTTTGAATCTGCTGAATCTTGTGAATCTTCTTTTCAGTCCCTTGCAACTAGGAGAGTTATAATAAGATAATCCACTCCAGTATAAAGAAACGCCCTACATCCTCCAACCCTGCACCGAGCACTCCCTTAACCAGCTGCTTAAACTGTATCCTAGCCCTCCCCTCAAACCACCAAGCCCCTTTAGTGGGGCTGACAGTCTCCTCCTGTCCAAACCCCTCCAGGGCCACCCTGTTCCTGTGGCCATCTTTCCCTCCACGCTTGTGGCTGTCACTCCCCTCTCATTCCTTCAAAACAGGATTGTGCCTCACTGTCTTCCTGGCACTGCCCTTCCTGATCTCATCACAGCGGGGAAGAACCTCCACTCAGGTCCATGACTGCTTTGTCTCTGCTGACCTTGCCTTGTCCCTCCTTCATTTCCGTGTGAAAAGAGGTGTCCCCTCCTATGTAAAGTTAATCCTCTACCTATGTTCTGGAGGATCCAAACCTTCAAGACCTCCGTCCATCAATTTTCCCACCTCTCCCCATCTCCCCAGTGTCTTCAACCTCTTCCTCTTTTCCCTTTTCTCGTATCTAAACACGATCAACTGTCACATCATTCAACAGCAAACACGAAACATACCTTAACTCCCTGATTCTTCTTTAGTGACCTACCCTGCTCTCTCCTCCCCTTTGAAGCTAAACTTCTTGAAATCACTTACACTTCCTGTTTCCATTTTTACACTTTGCATTCACCACTTTCTGAAACTGATCTCTCATCTATCAGAGAAGCATTAACTCAGGCCCTTGCTGTGCTAAACAAAGTGAGACTAAATAAAGTGAACTAAGTTATAGTTTAAATAAGGATAGACACTCCATCTTGGGTTCCTTAAGCTTCTAGAGGTCAGAAGATCACAGTCCTGCCCCTAGGGGGACCCAAGAGTGATCTGGCTGGGTCACAGCCTTTTCATTACCAGTTGGCTCTCCCTCCAAGGGTGACGTGTCCTCTCTTGACAATCTTTCCTAGGAGTAACAACACTGCATTATAAATTTGGCTTATAGTTTCCATAGCAGTAAAATTTATACTCAAGAAAATTGTATCATTTCCAACTATTAAAGCAACGATTTCGCTTCCTCATAGAAATACAATTTCTTCCTCACAAGACGAGCGCAATTTTATATTCTTAAAATTTACTATAAATGATTTAACAATAGCATGTAAACAGATAAATGACCTGTTTTTGTTTTGTTTTGTTTTAATGGGCTTTGTGTTTCCATCAGAGCAGGAACCAGTCTCTTCAATGGATCAGGTTGAGAATCATTGCTCTCTGGAAGTTCAGGGTCATCCTGGTAAGTGAAGCTCCTGGAGTACTATTTATACTGAAACAGAATGGGTTTGTCAGACAAACAGGTTGCCAGCCCTGGGACTTTGGGCAAATTACTTAACCTCTCTGAGCCTCAGTTTCCCCATTTTTAAATTAGAATAACAACTATTCATAGGGTTTCTGTGAAAACTAAATGATGTAACTTATTTGAAAGCAAAATATCAATACCTGGAACACAGTAGTCATACAACAAACATTAGTTTCTTCTTTTCCATTCTTTTGTCCCCTAGGAGCTGTTGAAATCCAACAGTCCCATTTTAGTTCTTCCTTTTATTAGGCACATGCTTGCTGTACTTACTTTCGCATCATCTCAGAACTGTTTTTTTCCTTTTCATATATGTCTTATGCGACCAACTAGAAATAACCTCTTTGAGGGCAAAGATTGTCTCTCCGTTTCTTTTATATTTCTCATAATTACAGCAACCCTATGCCACAGATTTTCCTGGATAGACCCAATTTCAAACAGTCTGCTTTTCGTCCTTTTTTAAACTATTAAAAATATCCTGAGAATCCCAACATTTCGGGATCCAAGCTACATTTGCGGAAACATCACTTACCCACAAGACAGTGTCTGTACACATAGGAGCCAGCACCACACTGGACACACAATAGCCTCCAGAGCTGGACACACCTGAGCAATCAGTCTGCTTAAGAGAAACCTCCAGAGCCCTGAGGGTCTCCTTAGACCACTTTCCCCACCACCATGACCCACCTTCAGAGGATTTAACGGCAGTCCTCCCTCCCTATAAGCTTCTGAAGCAGTCCATCCTAAAAAGGAAGCTAAAATTAGAATTGATTCCCCACTTTCCCTAAAAGACCATCTGCATAGTTGCCCCATGCGGCAGGACCCTTTCCACCTTAGTCTCCTTGGAGGCGAACCTCCAGGTCATCCACCATCACCACATTCTCTCCCCCTCGTGGCTCTTCCTCCCCTGATTTGACTTAAGCTAACCTCCCCCCACCCTTCCACTGCATCCCCTAGAACCCCAGCTGTGTCATCGACCAAGCCCTCCACAGCCTCCACCCTTTTCTGCAGTTTCTTCACCCTCTTGCACCTGGGGCCGCTCTCAGTGGAAACTGAAACCTGCTTCCCCCGGAGCATCACGAGGCAACTGCTCTCCCGCCCACCCCAGCACGCAGCAGAGCCCAGCGGGGGAGTGGGTGTGCCCATGCCCCTCCCTGCTGCCGACAGAGAGCTCTCCCCCCTCCCCCCAAAGCCCGCGCTCTTCTGGAAGCCCATGCCCTCCAACTACACCACCCACTCACTACCCGCGGCCCCGCGACCGTCACCCGCTCACCGGTCTCCTGACCCCTCTTCATCCTCTTCACTCGTGCGGGATGTCTGCGCCCGCGCCCTTCCCCTTCTGCTCCCTGAGTCACTCCGGGCGACAGACCATCCATAAAGCGCATGGAGGGCGCTCTCCCCTCCTACTGCCTCGATGACTCCTCGCTTCCGACGTGCGCCCTCCATCACGCCCCTCCCATCTCATGGCCAAGGACCGCACGACCTCAGGACTCATCCGCAGCACCCCACCCTCTGACCACTTGCTCTTTGGCCAACTAGCCCCACTCCAACCATCTTCCACCCCGTGGGCGTCCCCAGTTCCGAGGCCCCAGCACTCTGTATCTGAGGATGCAGAACTGGCAAGGAACAGATGGTACCCTCGGAAGGGCTGAGCTGGAGAGAATTTCATGAAAGGCCTATGGACAGAGGAGCGGGCCGGCTGAGAGAACCAAGCAGAGATAGGGGAGCTCCCGGGCAGCCCGAAGACGCAGGGGAGAGAAAGAGGTACTGAGCCCAGCAAGAGCTGGAACGTGAGAGAAAGGCTGACAGGGGCTGTGGCCACCGGAGAACACAGGCCCGGCCAGAACCATCATAAGGCCAGGAGGGATCAAGGGAGAATAAAGCCCCAAAACTCGCTTCTGGTTTTTGGCCAGTGCCTTCCATTGGCTGAAGTCAGAGGGCCAGGGAGCTTCAGTGATGCGATCTGAAGAGGTCTGCCTTTCACAGCAAAACAGGGTGGATTGCGGGTGGAGGGTGACCAGGTAGGAGAAGCACAGCCACCTCCTCACAGCCCTGGCCTATTCTGCAATTCCCCTCAACATCCTTGCCCCTGTGTCATGCTGGCCTGGCAGACCCCAACTCTCTGCCTTCTCCAGAGCTGTATCCAAGCAGGGGGATGGGACCGAAGACAATTATGGGGCTCTGCTTACTAGTCTCACTTTCAATGCAGGTCCTCAAGGAGGAAGCACTGCTGTCTGATGACACTCCTCTAATCCATTCACCCTCCCACAGTTTTACCCCTTTTTCTCCTCAGTCTCCAATATACTATCCCCACTCCTGATGATTTCATATGTTACTGAGAAAATGGAAACAACAAGAACACAACTTCATCTAGCCATTCTTAACCTATCCACAAACTCTGCTCTCCTCTGGTTACTGTGGGAACCCCATCCCTGTTACAGTGGGTGCCTGTACTTGTATACAAGATGCCATCACCTCTTACAGACCTGCAGGTATCTCCTGCAGAAGAAACTTCTTGCTCTAAAGGGTCATTCTCTCTGCGTGCAAACATAAAATAGATCATATCCATGGGGAAGGACGGGTTGGGAGTTTGGGATTAGTGGACACAAAGTATTATATACAGAATGGATAAACAACAAGGTCCTACTGTATAGCACAGGGAACTATATTCAATATCCTGTGATAAACCATAATGGAAAAGAATATGAAAAAGAATGTATATATGTATAACTGAATCACTTTGCTGTACAGCAGAAATTAACACAACATTGTAAATCAACTATACTTCAATAAAATTGTTTAAAATGGATCATATCCAAAAAGAAAACAAAAACTTTCCCTAGACCCTTCAGCCCCTCTCTAACTACTTGCCCATTTCTGTCTCATCTTATAGGAAAAACTCCTCAGATGAGTTGCTTATACACATGCCTCCATGTTTCCACCGCCCACTCTCTCGAAACCCACTCCAATCAGCTATTTATTCCTATCATTCCGAAGAAAACACTCTCTTGAAGGTCACTAATGACCTTCATAGTAAGTTAGGGTCCTAGCAGGAGCAAATGGCACATTCACCGTGGGTAATTTGAGGAAATTTTCACAAAAGGACTCTTCAGAAACCACAAGGGATACTGGCTGTAACCATGGAGTGATTCAAGGGGCCAGAGGAAGGAGCAGGTAGGTAACTGAGCCCGAGAGAGAGCGGTGGGAGAGGACCTCCTGGCAAAAGCTGTGACTTTCTCTGGAAGATGGCAAGAGTGCATGGCGGGAGCTCCCAGCCCCTGACTAAGCAGAGCAGTACTACAAGGACCCACCATTTCTGCCCAGTGTGCTGGAGCGCCCTGCTGGGCTGGCCGAGATGTTCTCAGGCTGCACCTCAGCGTGAGGTCTTCCTGGCGGGTCCTCCCTCCTTCCTTTCACAGGTGTCAGACAGGTTTCGTGGTCTGCAGCCTTTCCCTGCCGACTCCTCTCCCATTTACTTTTCACAAACGTTATTGCTGACGAATCCCTTACGATTCTGACTCTGTCTTGGCATCTGTTTCCTGGATAACCCACACTGCCACAAACTCACATCCTCTGAATTGCCAAATACAACAGTCATCCCAAGTCCTACAGCTGTCCAGAGTATGGTAGGTTTCATGCAACTAAAAGAACACCAGTGGGGGTATTTTCTCACAAAAGAGTGAAAAATAATTAAATTTTAAGGTTTGAAAGAGTCCATTTCAGTTTAAAAACTCACTTCAGTGGAACAATTAATTTCCAAATGACCTAGAATATTTCCATGTCACCCTTCACCAAACAAGTCTTGAAAATACCCATCACATTGGTAATGACTTGTTTATTGTCTTCCATTCCAGGTATATGAGTTTCAAGAACAAAAACTAAGTCTTTCTTTGGGGAATAATAAAAATGTTCTAAAGTTAGATTATGGTGGTGGTTGCCCAATTTTGTAAATATACTAAAAATCATCAAATTGTACTCTTGAAATAGGTGAACTATGTGATATAAATTATATCTCATTAAAGCTATTTTTAAAAATGCAGTTGAGTCATTAGAGATGGCCACAGAAGTCAGTAAAGGTTTCAGTGAAGTCACCTGTGAATGAGATTTGAAGGAACAGTAGGCGTGGGGTGTGTAGATGAGGGGAGAGGAGAAAACATCCCAGACAGAAGCAGCAGCGAGCACAAAGCCAGGGAGAGCGTGGGAAGAGAGCAGACTATCGTGTGTGTAGAGTGGGAAGCCAGTAGTGCTAGTACTAAGAGATTGGGGCCTATAGAGGAAGGGTTTGAGAATGTCTGGGTAGGCAGAAGCCAAACCATAAAGCACTATTTAGTCATGCTAGCTTCCCATAAAGGAAAAGGGAAACCACCAAAAAAATTTGAAAAATTTTGTTAGAAGCATCATTCTAATATGAAATTGGAAGGTGATTTGGAGGTAGGTAAAACTAGTAATTGTTTGATCAGAAAGTAGGAAAATAATAATAGCTAACATTTGGGACCTCCCTGGTAGTCCAGCAGTTAGGACTCCTTGCTTCCACCGCAGGGGGCACCGGCTCAATCCCTGGTCAGGGAACTAAGATCCCGCAAGCAGCGTGGCCAAAAAGAAAAAATAATAACAATAATAGGTAACATTTATACCTAACTCTCTACTAAGCACTTTCCTTGAATCATCTCATTTAATTGCTAAAGTAGGCTACAGGTACTACAATTATCTCCTTTTTATTGATGATATGGTTTGCTCCCTCACCTCTTCAAGTCTTCAGGCAAATGCAATTTCCCACACTTTCCCTATTCCCCTTGCTTTATTTTTCTCCAGGACCCTCATCTCAATTTAAGACATGTTTCACTTTTTAAATCTTGTGTAAAGATCCTCTTCCCATACTAAAATGAAAGCCCATAAGAATAGGTTCAATTGTACTTTTCCTTCATTTCTATATCCCCAGTGCTTAGCATATGGTAGCTGCCCAATAAATAGTTTTTTGAATGCATGAATACATAAATAAATGAAGAAATCGAATCTCATGGAGATAAGTAACCATGATCATACAGATAATGAGTGACAGAATTCTGACTTATAAACCCATGTTCTTAAACCACTAAGGCATTCACCAGACTTGTAATATTGTAGGTGAGCAGTGAGTCCCCTCCTGAGGGTGCAGCAGTGGGAAAAGGAAGGGGGGACTCAATGGCCTTGGGTTTCTTTGGTAATAGTTTGGATATGGAAGGATGCTGAAAGGCATCAGTCCAGGATGACTCTGGTTTCTAGATTTGGCAAATGGGTAAACAGTGGTACAATTCATCTGGAGAAAGAATACAGGGAGTCTTGGTTTGGGCAGAAATATGAAAGAGGAAGACATGTCTAATCCACAAACTTTTAAAAATCATCTCCCTAGATTACCAAGAAGTGTCGTTAATAATAAATATGAAGCCAGTAAACCCAAACTTATGAACTTACTTCAGTCGCATGCCCGTTGGGGGATGGGTAGGTGAGACCAAATAGGAATTGTTCCTTTTTGAAAGCTAGTTCAAGGCTACAAAGAACAGGAAACAAGTCCTCAGGCGTGTTTAAAATAACTCTTAAGTTAACTTTTAAGGCAGCTGCTAAAACCGAAGAATGCCCCTACCCTTATGTAGTTAAGCTGTACTCATACGTTTAGGTTATTTTGCTGGTGGCAGTGGCTTTCAAGAAGTGACAATCAATGTGGAAACAGGCACTGACACCCAAGGCCAGGGTGGCACAGAGGGCGGAAAGCACGCTTGCACCCGTGCACGCCGTAGCACGTGGCCGCCCTCTGACCGCGGCGCGGACTCAGCCTGTTTAGTAACCGCAGGAAGCTCGCGCCTCAAACGACTCCCAACCCCAGCCCTGGAGCGGAGCAGGGGAGGCGCCGCTCAGGTTTCTTACACTCGCCCGGCCCCGGGCGGACGGCCTCCGCTCCCTAGGCGGCGCTGTGGGCTCGCAGGGGCGGCCGCGACACGAAAGAGCGCCGTCTCCCCAGTGCGCATGCTCGCCTCCTGTGTGGGCTTGCCTTTTTTTTTTTTTTTTTTTCCGGGCGGCCCCGGCGGCTGCGTACTGGCTGTGGGATGGGAAGTGAAGCCCCAGCGAGCGGCAGCGGCGGGGCTGTGAGGAGCAGCCAGGGGGAGGAGGAGGCGGCGGCGGCGGCGGCGGCGAGTCGGTGAGCAGCTGGGAAGAGCGGAGCCGGGGCGGAGCACCTGCAGGCACGGGCGACGGCTTCACCATGGCGATTCGCAAGAAGAGCACCAAGAGCCCCCCGGTCCTGAGCCACGAATTCGTCCTGCAGAATCACGCGGACATCGTCTCCTGTGTAGCGATGGTCTTCTTGCTGGGGCTCATGTTCGAGGTGAGCCCTGCCCGCGCCCCAATCGCCCGCCCGCCGTCCCCTCCCCGGGCCCCGGCTGCCAGCTCAGCCCCTCGGCCCGGAACCGCGGGGGACCCCGGCGGGGGGTGCGGGGGGAGGTGCCGGCCGCCTGGCCCGGAGGAGCGGGCGTGCCCCGCGCCCTGCCGGGCTGGGGCTGCGGAGCCCCGGGAGCCTGGCCGCCGTGCGCCCGCAGGGGCCGGGGCCGCCGCGTCGCCCCCTCGGCCATCACGCACGCCGCCCTCCCGCCGCCGCCCCCTCCCGCCGGCCGCGCCGCGCAGTTCCTGGTTCCCGCGAAGGGTTACGTGGCAGCCGGCGAGGGGCCGGCGGTCGGCGGGGGCGGCCCCTGAACGCCGAGCTGGCTGCGGGCGGTGGGCGGGCTGGGCAATGGCCGGCGCGCCCGGCTGGCCAGGCCGCGGGGGCCGGAGAGCGCTCGGGGGCGGGGTCCGCGGCGGCACCGAGTCTGGGGTGAAACCGACGGAACCCGGCGTCCGCTGCCCACTGGAAGGGCGGTGGCCGCGGGGCAGCGAGTGATCTCCGCGGGATCGGAGCTCCGAGTCGCACCCACCCGATTGTTTTAACTCCTGTCTCCCAAGCTGGTATTGTTATCAGTGGTCGAACTTTTTGCCCCAGCGCTTGCTCTTTTCTTAAGGAAACAAGGTCTGATACAGAAATCGGGGTTCTGAACAGCAGTGCCGAGGCGTCGGATAATTTTCTTTTTGTTTCTTGAAATAGGAGAGGATGGAAATGTCAGGAGTGTGTAAATTCTCATCCCACGTAGCGAGTATTGTGATGACTTACTTAACAGCTGTTGAATGTGGGTATAAACTTTGCAAGGTGAACGTGTAACATCCTACGGCTTCCTTTCCCTCCCTCCCCAGTACACACGCCCATTCCTTATCTTCTTTCCCTTTTTAATTTTACTCTGTAGCTCCTGTGCCCCACCAAATACACTAATTATTTTACTTATTTATTGTCTCCCCGCTCCTGGAATGTAACCTCAGTGAGGGCAGAAATTTTGGTTTTTTCCTAATCTATTTCCAAAGCCTAAATTTAGGAGATGCTTACAAAATATTTGCTTAATGAGTGACATTAAGAATTCTTGAGAAAAGCTGGTGTAATGAGACTGCCAGTGACCGAAAGTTGAATAAATAGTTTAAATGGAGCCCATGTGGGTTTTTAAAATGTTATGATTAGGTAACTTAATATTTTAATAATTTTTTGCTTCTCTTCAAATGGACTTTTCTGGATCTAGATACAGATTTTTTGATTCTTGATAGTGTCATTTACGTCCACCTAGTCCACTGCTAAGGAGGTAGTGGGTATCCTGAAAGGGAGGGTAGAAGGGAACTAACATATGTCACATCGTTCGATTTAGGCTGGGCCTGTGCTACTTACCTACTGAATGACCCAGGGCTAAGCCTCAGTTTTTCTGTTCTGTATAAGGAAATAACATCACCTGTGCTATTCTCACAGCCATTGTTTGCAGAGATCAGATGATATGGTGAGAAGGCATCTCACGGTTTATACAGAACTACATGAATGTATATAATTTTAGAAATGCAATGCTAAACATTTGTACTTTCTGAATTTTATACTTGTATATACTTTCTGCTTTGGTGTTAGAAGTAATACTTTTGTGTGTACAATATACTGAACAGTTCCATAAAGCTTGCCATAACCCGTCTCCACGTAGTAAGAATCCCTGTTTTTAAAGATATAATTTAGGAGTAACATTACCTGCAAGGTGTATTTGCAATGCGTTGAGTGAAATGGAATATAAATCAGAAGTGCTGACACTTAGAAATGTTATAACGTTGCTTTTATGTAAAATATTTCATGTTCTCTTACCACATTTCTAGAGAAGTTCACCACCTGTACCTTGCCTCACATGTCAATGATTTTTTAACAGTGAGTGGATTTTCACCTTTACATCCGTAAAATTTATCAATTTAAATAGACACAATAAAGATCTAAATAGAAGTTTTTAAAGTCAGTTCATAAAAGAATGTTGAAGTAGTAGACAGAAGGAAGTTTGTGCAGGTTGTACTACATTTTTCTTACCATATGTTAAAGTTTTAGGAGTTGAAAGCATGTTATCTACCTATGGGAAAAAATTCACTGGATTAGTTTTGCTACTTGACTTTTAAAGTAATTGCTGTGGGACTTGCCTGGTGACGCAGTGGTTAAGAATCTGCCTGCCAGTGCAGGAGACACGGGTTCAAGCCCTGGTCCAGGAAGATCCCCCAGGTCTCAGAGCAACTGAGCCCACGTGCCACAACTACTGAAGCCAGCGCGCCTAGAGCCCGTGCTCTGCAACACAGGAGAAGCCACTGCAATGAGAAGCCTGCATGCAGCAACGAAGACCCAACACAGCCAATAATTTTTTTTTTAAAAATTAATTAATTAAAAAAAAAATAAAGTAATTGCTGAATCTCAACATTAACATAGTTATAGAATGACAGTATTTGTGCTAGAATAATAGAGAAGTTAACGTTTTTGCAACAGAACTGTTCAGCCTTTTGTGTAAAGGAAAGGCTTTCCGACATTGAGGAAATGTCTGAGGATTTATGGTGAAATTGACAAAGCAATAACATACTGTATTACTAGCCAAAATGAAGAATCAATATAGACGCTGAAGCTAAAGGGAGTTAGGGCTCTACTGCTTGCTAACTGGGTGGCCTAGGGCATGTCATATAACTTCTTAGAACTTGTTTCTTTTTCTGTAAAATACGGCTCATCAGATTACTCTGAGAATTAAACTAAGTTTTATAATGGCTAGTTCAAAGTGTGGCTTACAGGAGGCATACCATAAATGGTAGCTCATTATTCCTTAGGTATTTATCAAAGTCGAAAAACAGAAG